AAGCAAAGGCAATACAATGCAGAAGTGAGAGACTTCTCAACAAATAGTGTTGAAACAGCTGGACATCCACATAAAATAAAATAAAAAATGAAGCTAAACACAGATCTCACACCCATAACAAAAATTAAAATAGGGTTTGACAATGGCTTTTTAGATAAAATACCAAAACACAATCCATGAAAGAAAGAACTGATAAGCTAGAATTTATGACAATTTAAAATTTTCTGCTCTGTATATGACTTTATTAAGGAATGAGAAGGCAAGCCATAGATTGGAAGAAAATATTTTCAAAAGATATATCTAATATGACTATTATTCAAAATACAGAAAGAATGCTCAAAATTCAATAATTTAAAATTGATAATAAGAAAACAAACAACTAAAAGATTGGCCAAAGATCACAACAGACACTTTATCAAAAATAAAATAAAATAAAAAATACACAAGGCAAACGGACATATGAAAGATACAACAGGCCAGCACTGTGGTGCAGTGGGTTAAGCAGCTGCCTACCATGCTGGCATTCCATATGGGCACCGGTTCATATCACTGCTGCTCCACCTCCAATACAACTCCCTGTTAATGAGCCTGGGAAAGCAGAGGTAGATGGCCCAAGTTCTTGGGCCGCTGTACCCACATGGGAGACCCAAAAGAAGCTCCTGGCTCCTGCTGTTGTAGTCATTTATGGAGTAAACCAATGGATGGATGATCTCTCTCTCTGTTCTGCCTTTTAAATAAATAAATAAATCTTAAACTAACTATGTATGGATTTAAAAAAAGATACACCACATATATGTCATTAGGAAAATGCAATTTAAAACAATATATATGCATACTATTTCACAAAGACATAACATATATGAATTATTTTTAATAAAAAATAGCATACCTCTAAGAGAATCTGAGACAACTGTTTGAGGTAAAAGAATATATTAAAATTTTAATTTACATTTATTTTATGAAATGATAAAATATGATACTTAACAAACATTGATTATATGGATTCTCAGTGGCAACTTTACAGAAAATCCAATGGTCAGGTGTCATGTGAGATATGAGAAGAGTTCAAGTTTATCTACACAGAAGAATGGGAAGTGGCACCCACATTATCTCCACTCACTTGAAAACACAGCAAAGGCAATGGTCAGTTATGGCCAGTTTAGGCTTTGGAAGCAACTATCAATCAAGATTAGAAGGAAATTATGCATTGGAAGTATGATCATATTCTTTTTTTTTTTTTTTTTCCACAGGCAGAGTGGACAATGAGAGAGAGACAGAGAGAAAGGTCTTCCTTTGCCGTTGGTTCACCCTCCAATGGCCACCGCGGCTGGCGCGCTGCAGCCGGTGCACTGCGCTGAAGTATGATCATATTCTGACTACACTCTCTGACTCTGCTTGATAATAGAACTGGGCTCAGATATTTCCTAACTCTCTATAATAACTGTTCAACTTCTTAATCTGACCTCAATATTTTTGTCATAATCTTAATGTCTTTCACCTTTAGATTTTGCCACCAATCCCCAACCATATCATCATATATGTATCCATTTTATTTCTATAGTTACTCACCACTCTAGACTAATAATTCAAGTAATGAAAGTGAAAATAAGGGTTGATTTCTGAGCTGAATTTTGCTTCCTTTGTACTACCATGTGTAGTGAGCATGTTGTCTTTAAATTCTAATAATGGGCCCCAGTTCTAGTGCCAGCTGCCCCTCTTCCAATTGCTATTGCCTGGGAAAGCAGTAGAAGATGGCCCAAGTTCTTGGGCCCCTGCACCAGCATGGGAGACCAGGAATAAGCACCTGGCTCCTGGCTTCGGATCAGCATAGCTTCAGCCGTTGGGGCCATCTGGAGAGTGAATCAATGGAAGGAAGACCTTTCTCTCTGTCTCTCCCTCTCACTATCTGTAACTCTACCTCTCAAATAAATAAAATCTTTTAAAAAATCTGATTATAACTCAAATAAAATAGAAAAACAATATTACTTAGCTAATTCACATGGTTTTCTTGTTACTTTGACATTTTAGTCCCATTTTCCTTTCCCTAATTTAATAATAAAAAATTTTTCATAATTTTTTACCACAAATAAGACAACTTGATAGACTGGGCCATTTGAGAATCTAGAATTAGCATTTTAAAATAGGTGATAAATTCCACATTCTATCCTACGGTACCAAATTACTTTTAAAAAATGTGCTTTACTGTAATCCCACATCTCAAGGGAGTTTTACAACTAAGTTCAACTTGAAGTAAGTTCTTTTTAGGATGTTAGATTCTTACAAGGCATCCAAGGTGGCCCCAGTAAATAGCAGCTAAGATTAAACGGTGTATGACAGAAATCTTTGTTATATAGACCTTCTCCTGGAAGCTTCTTCCATGCCCTGGTAATTTAAAAATTGTCAGAGAACTCCTAGAAGCAAATTCAACACTGAACTTCGAAAAAAACAGTGAAGTCGTAATGCAATTTTCTAAATATCTGGCTTCATACTTTTAAAAGATTGATTCGATCATTATTGACATGATAGCACCATTGTTATTGTTATATGCATTCTTCAGAAATGCCCCCTCTCAAAAAGCATGCAACAATGATTAAGTATCTGAGGATAAAGCAGTAGTCTCTTAGAAAGTTAAACTGATCACTGTCTCTAAACTAGTTAGAATACCACATCCTCAGCAACAAGATCATATTTGGCTGAGAGTAGGCATTTCATAACTAAATCATCCTTCTGGACATGCTCATTCTATAACTTCAGACATAAGCTACCAAAGCTTCGCTGTACTTTGGGCCTAGGAGAGTGAATTTTATAACCTCAGAGGGCTCAGGGCCAACAAAATGGAATAATGGTTTGTCTAGCAAAAGAAAATTGCTTTGATGCTACCTAAAAAGGACTGAGAAAAAAAGGCAAACATTTCAGGGCCTCCTCTGCTCAAACCCTTCAGATTTATTTTGTATATACTATATGGAGGTAAACCTTCAGAAGTTTAAAATGAGAATATTTTCTTCCATTTCACTTGCATCAGCATTAATACACTCAATGATTGGACATACTTGTCCATTTTTAGGATTGTTCTTTCTCCCTTTCTTCTCTCACTACCTACCTCTGAATGCTCTTATCCCATTAAAAGCCATCTTGGCTTTTAATGCCTTTCTGACTGTCTTTCCAACTCCACTGAAAGTTCCCACAGTTTTAACTAAAAGAATATACCTCAACATTACAGTGTCCTGGTATTCCATTTCCCACTTTTCCTTTTTAGGCAGTATTGACAAACCATCTTTTATAAAAACTTGAAACCTAGAATCCATCTCAAAGTCTGTATTTGTACTGACAATTAAAATAGCAGCTGCATTTTCTTGAACACATACTAAATGTTGGTACTTTATATAATTTATTTAATCATCACAAAACCCAAAAGATATATACCATTCCCCTCTCATTTCTTGGTTGAGGAAACTAAGGCTTATAACTTTCCCAAGATCATAGAGCAAGTAAATAGCAGTGCTGTGACTTATTAAACTATGCTCTTAATTATTATGTTATATTGCCTCTATAATATGTGGGTACTTCAAAAAGTTCTTGGAAAATAGAATTGAAAGACACTCAGTTTGGTGCAAAAACTTAAAATCCATGCATAATATTTTCATAATACACATTTCCATGAACTTTTTGAAGTACCCTTATAATGTTTTGTAGTCATCTGATTAATTTTATAAAACAAGACCTAAAGTATTTCTTTCTCTCTTCCAAGTATAAAGCCTCTAGTCCAGGAACTGATTGTGTTAAGCCTTGTTAAGAACATGACGTACAAAAATGCTGGATACTTTTTTTTTTTAATTTCTGAACTAGTTTTAGAAGACCTACATTCTAGCTCTAGCATCAGCACTATGGGACCTTAGACATGTCATTCAGATTCCATGTCTCACTTTCTCTTTAGAATAAAGGGAATAAAATTTGCCTTACATAACATGCTTGTTTTGGGATAGACAACAAGAACAATAACAACAAAAAACACTCATAAAACCAGATGAGGATGTCGAAAACACCATACAAATATAAAATTGGACCAATAATTCAGCATCCTTTCTGGACTCTCAGGCTTATTTTTTATACGATTGTCTCCTAACATAATATTCTTTGTGAAACTACATAGTTATTCTGTATGGCCATCATCCCCATGAAATGCAAACTTAACTCTGGCCTTTAAAATTTTTCACAGACTTATTGTAGACCTTCTTTTTCTAATCAAACTTGTTTTTTTATGCTTTCTGAAGTCCAAAACTGGTTGCCCATCTAGCCTAGTAATGACATCCTCTTGTAAATGCCTCTAGTTAATCCTCATTTGGTCCTAAACCCTTTAACTGTTCCCCACAAGTGACATCCATGAGCCTCATCAAACTGGATTCAGCCGGCTTTTCTAGGACAAGCTCCAACCCCCCACATCTATATATCACAGTTCCTGTGTACAGTTCCTCTTTCATCCAGGGAAGTTCCCTGATGTCCTTGACACTACTTATTCCTAGTAATCACAGACTCCTAATTCAAGTATCTTTTCAAGTTTGGGAAGATGGACAAGTCTTATTTTTGTACAACTCCACTTTGATTTTACACACACACACACACACACACACACAGTGTCTGTACTTTTAAGCAGGAAAATAACTGACATTCTCTGACACTGCCCCTGCTCTTTATTCAGGCTCCATTCTTGGTGGTGACTCCTGCATTCTTCCCACTTCCCCACTCCCTCCCTGCACAAAACTGGCTTCCTGGGGAGAACTGGGCATGCTCAGTACCACAGCTGATTCCGGGATGCAAACTGAAATCTTTTTTTGCAGCATCTGAGTCTGCAGGAAGAGGTAAGGCCCTGAAAATACAGTGGCCCATAATATGCCTATTACTCCTTTAATTTCCTTTCATTTAAACGTGTGTTCCAAGCCTAAGAAAGGACTTGGAAATTGACACTTTACCGCCAGTCCGTAGTCTGCAATGTGGTCACCGACCTGAGCAACTGGAGTGCTAAGCGACAGCCCCTCAGCAAGCTTTGGTGCAGGGAGGGGATTTCTGCCCTCGTGAGCTGTGACAGCGCTGATGGATGGCTGGAAGCTAGCGTTTGGCATCTCTATTGCGTCAAGAAAATACTGTGGGTTTTTTTCTCTTCACTCCTTGAACACAGTAACATCAGCAGCTCCATGCTGAGAAAGATGTTGCCTGAAGATCTGCAAAGTCTGGGAGCCAGGGAGATTGTGGAGAGGATAAGCAAATCAATCACTTATCTAAAAATTAAATCTAAGAAGGTGGCTTAAGGATACAGAGTTAAACAGATAGGCTATTTTCAAATGACAATTTAGTAACCTTTCAGATAGTCAACTCTGAATTTTGTGCCTGTCCCCCCAAACCTTCTTTGTACTTGAACCATGACACATTTCCCTTTGAGAAAGAGGGAGACGAACAACACACACACACACACACACACACACACACACACACACGATCCTTCTGTTCTTTCCTCTGGTTTCTGCGGAGACTAAATCGCTAGAGCTGCAACAGCGGCAGATTCCCTCACCTCACTGCCTGGAGATGAGGCATAGGGAGGAAATTTTTCAGGGATTAAATGTAATAAAACGGGGCTTCTTAGCAGGGGCCTGAGCCACAGCACAGACTGAGAAATGGAGAAACAGGCAGGGAGGGTGACACACACAGCTGCCCCTGCCGCTAAACCTAGCCATTTCTTCAAACAGCGGCAAACATGAGATATTTCATCACCGTGATGCATCCATATTGAGAAGGGGGGAAAAAAATCATGTGCTTTGCTTTATGCATTTCAGTCTCCCGGGATGAGAGGAGACCCCTGTCCGTTTGTCGTGGGAGCTATCCACCACCCCGAAAGTACACTCGCTGCACCTAGCTAGCAGACCACTTGCCTAACAGGTTTTGCAGCAAAGCAGTTAATTTATGTGACAGCAGGTTGTCTCTTACCGTAGGCAGCAGCGGCTCCATTTGGGCTCCCTGGTCTTTAATCTCCATGTTTTGTAACGCGTCTGGAATAAGCACCTTGCTCTGCAGTGTCTTCAGTGCCTTACACTCAGCACAGCACTCGCTCTGCTTAGTATTCGGATCAGGTAGCTCTGAAGCAGGAGGCAATTGCACACTCCAACTCACCAGAGTCACATGGCTTCTACTCACTCGGGCTGCTGGCCAGGTTTTGCACTGAATGCCTTGGATCCCTGGGCCAGTAAGAGATCCCTCGAGCCCTGTATCACTGCCCACACCTGGCTACTGGTGTAAAATACAGCCTGCAATGCTGCAAACTGATGGGCATCATGAATTTCACCTAAGATGCTAACTTCTTACATAAATGAGTCTGTGCAGGTCTCTAACCAGCTAAGCCTGATTTTGACACTTTGAGGCAACTTCCTTCATTCCCAGAACCTCACAAAGACATAATTTAATGGTGATGTTAATAAGGTTTACTAGATACTCTGCTCTAACTACCTGGGACTTTTAAAACAAATAAGACATCCTTGAAATTGGTCTTATTGAGACTGAACTATTCACTAAAAAAAAAAAAATTAAGTCATTGTTGACTCAATAAAATTTGGACAGAAATCTCCAATATTTGAGTTTACATGTCATACATTTTTAAATAAAAAATATTATTCTATGATTACCTGACAAAAATGACAGGGAAAGAAAATATTTTGAGAGTGGCAATATTCAACACACCAAAGCACTTTGAAAAGACAGTGAGCCTGACAAAAGTAGCCCAAACATGTACTGCTTTATTTTAGAAGTCTCAACAAAAGTGAGATAGGGGATTATCTAAATAATCCATGGAACAAAAGAGAGTCGGATAAATAAGCTCTTTTGTAGGCAAAAGTAGCTGATAATTGTCATTTAGTAACTACACATATTTCCTGAAACAGCTACTGCATCCAGAGTATTTTTTATTTTATTTTATTTTTATTTTTTGACAGGCAGAGTTAGACAGTGAGAGAGAGAGAGAGAGACAGAGACAGAGAGAAAGGTCTTCCTTCCGTTGGTTCACCCCTCAAATGGCCATTACAGCCGGCGCGCTACGCCGATCCAAAGCCAGGAGCCAGGTGCTTCCTCCTGGTCCCCCATACGGGTGCAGGGTCCAAACACTTGGGCCATCCTCCACTGCCTTCCCGGGCCACAGCAGAGAGCTTGCATCCAGAGTATTTTAAGTTATGAAACCCATATGTCACTGGACCCCGGACTATGAATATTAAGGCTGCAGATGAAGAGGGGTAAAAAGCTTTCAGGGATTAAGAAAGAATGCCTGTGGAAAGCCAAGACATGCTGGCAAAAAATATCATACAGGAAGGATCTCTGTGAGTGAGACCTCAGTAGGAAGAAGGGGCCATCAAAGAGGGATGTACTTTTCTCTGAAGGAAGGAGAGAACTTCCACTTTGCTTATGGCCCTGTCCAAATATTGATGGAGTCTGTGGTTACAAAAGGCTTCCATAGCCTTGGCACTCATGGCTAGAGCCTCAGGTGATCACTGACGTCATAAACAAGAGTGCCAATTGTTAAATGAACAACAGAAGTCACTGTACACTTACTCCCCATGTTGGACCTCTGTCCTTAATGTGTTGTACTATGAGAATTAACAGTAAAACTAGTCTTCAAATAGTACTTTATATTTTGTGCATCTGTGTGAGTGCAAACTGTTGAAATCTTTACTTAGTATAGAGTTAGTCCTCTGTATATAAAATATAACTAAAAATGAACCATAATGAAGAATGGAATGGGAGAGAGAGTAGGGGGTAGGACAGGAGTGGGGATGGGAGGGTGGTTATGGGGGAAAGAACCACTATATTCCTAAAGTTGTACCTATGAAATATTCATTCATTAAATGAAGGCCTTTAAAAAAAAAAGATGACTGAAAATTATTAAGAGTGTTTACCTTAAAATTTTTTACCAAATCTTAAACTTTTAATCAGCAAAATTTAATACAAGCATTTAACTACCTTTAACAATACAGCAAAATTTTCCAGAATTCTCATAGCAAGTGGAATTATAGAAAACATTTATCTGTTTTCTTTCTCAACATAATTTTTTACAATGTTTCTATTATTTTTATAAGTAAATATTTTAAGCCATAAACATCAACATGTTTGAATGACTACTTTGTGCATGCATTCAAATGAACATAAACAGCAACCACAAATAATATATTAGAATGAAAATGATAACTTCTCTTTAAAAGATTATGTCAGGACCAGGGCTGTGGGGTAGCAGGTAAGGTTGCCACCTGTAGTGCCAGCATCCAATTTAGGTGCCAGTTTGAGTCCGGCCTGGGAAAGCAGTAAAATTTGGCCCAAGTGCTTGGGCCCCTGCACCCTCCCGGGAGACTTGGAAGAAGCTCCTGGCTCCTAGCTCTGGATCAGAGAAGCTCCAGCCATTGTGGCCATTTGGGGAGTAAAGCAGAGGATGGAAGACCCCCCCACCTCTGGCTCTGCCTCTCTGTAAATCTTTCAAATAAATAAACCTTAAAAAAATTATGTCTATCCAATTAAGAAGCCTTAAATTGTCCAGTTTATATTCATTCAAAATAAATTTAAATATAACCAAGAAAAATCTGACTATTCTTGGAGTCAAAATAAAAATAAACCTATTTTAATTTATCTTCAATATTTTTCTACAAGATAAATTATTAAATCATAGAGGTACTTCGATGGAGCAACCATTGCTTGTGTTTATATGTCAGTTATTGTTTCTACCACTACAAATAGGACTTAGCCAGAGTTCCAACAGCAAATATCTTACTGCTAATGATCAAGAAAGTCCAGGTTTCTAAAGTTCTCTGATCCAAGATATTAAATGCTAACCTGATATAGAGAAAGAAAAAATTGTCCTAAATTAATACACTACTAATGCACTACCTCAATTAATGCACTGTATATTTGGTACAGTGGTTAGGACACTGTTTGGGATGCTTGTATCCCATATCAAAGTCCCTGTTTTTGAGTCCTGGATCCATTTCCAATTCCATCTTCCTGGTGATGCACAGACTGGAAGCAGCAGATGATGGCTCTAGTTCTTGGGTATCTGAATTCATGTGGGAGTCCTGAATTAAGTTCTGGACTCCCAGTTTTGACCTGGGCCAGCCCTGGCTATTGTGCACACTCGGGAGTAAACTAGTGGATAGAAGATCTCTCTCTGTATGTCTGTCTCTATCTCTAACAGTCTTTTATTTATTTATTTATTTTTACTTGAAAGTCAAGTTACACAAAGAGAGGAAAGGCACAGAGAGAGGTATTCCATCTGATGGTTCACTCTCCAGATAGCTGCAATGGACAGAGCTGCGCCAATCTGAAACCAGGGGCCAGGAGCTTCTTCCAGGTCTCCCATGCGGGTACAGGGGCCCAAGTCCTTGGGCCATCTTTTAATGCTTTCCCAGGCCATAGCAGAGAGCTGTATTGGAAGTGGAGCAGCCAGGTCTCAAACCGGTGCCCATATGAGATCCTGGCACTTCAGGCCAGGGCGTTAACCTGCTGCACCACAGAGCTGGCTCCTCTAACAGCCTTTTAAATAAAATGAACATAAAGATTTTTTTTAAATTAAGAAAAAATTTAATCTACTACCACTCTCTTACAGAGTAACCTAAAATTAATGTTCATTACCTGAGAACACATCCATACAATAAATATGTCCCAAAGAAGAAGATAAGTATAAACTGAAAACTCCTGGGAAGAAAATCATCATTAGATAGGAGAAATTTTACTAAGAAAACCAGTGAATTTAATATCTAAACTTCTCCACTGATTTTCAAACTCAGGATGTAAAGAGAAGAAAAATAAAAGGAAATCCAAATTGCATGAGCAGTTTATTTTTAACACGTTATCTATCTTGGAGATTCTGATATTTTCAGAGTAGGAGCTAGGAGATGAGGGCATGTTTTTGGAAAATTATTCCCAGGTAATTTTGCATTTCTCAAAGTTCAGAGCTTTTTCCAGTTTAATAATATTTTTGGATCCTAGATGATTAGATATGGATTCCTGTTTAGCCTGTTCTTATTTAGAAAATCAATGAGGGTCTATTAGTACAGTTTGACAGTCATTTCAAACATTACATTAAATATAGCAAGACTGAATTTGTCCAAGCAACTAAATGTACTACACACCCTATTGAATGAGATAGTAGTTTGAGTTTTCATTCAGTTGGTCCTATTATGTGTAAGATACCATGCTACTGATGCTATTTCCATCATAGCAGCAATATTAAAGTGGAATTTTCCTCTCTGAAGAATGAAATAAAAGTAGGGATGGGCCACAAGCCAATCATACAAAGAGGAATTACAGCAAAACACTAAACAGATGAGCTACCTTCCTTTCCAGCTGCCAATGTCCTGGGCAATAAGAAAGGAACACAGCCACCATGGTGTTCTTCCTTCCTTGATCCATCTTGCTTCCTGGGACTCTTGCTGACCTCAACTTTAACTATTGCCTAACTATACAACTCAGCTTGGATTCAACACACTTTTCAGTTCCTACCTCCTTTTGATTTTTTATATCCTGAGGGTTAAGATTTGCACACTAAAACAATGTTTATCTTAGAGAATAGGTCACCTAATATTTATTGTATTTGAAAGGAAAAAAACAGATTCTAAATGTTACTGCCAACATTGACAGCCATAAAAAATAATTTTTAGTCTTGGTTTATTTCAGTATTGGATTTCTGGTTTAGATCTCAAAGTCCTTTGCTTTCGTCCTGTTTAACATAAAATACTTGAACTTTAGATTGGCAATGAGTTCAGAAATATATTCTTAATATTAATACTATGTTAGTGATATATTGCTAGAAAAAGATTATATTTCAAAAATAAGTATTTTTCATATATAAAAGTGCATCCCAGTAATGTTTATAGTATTTACTTATGTTTTATACCTTTGTTTCTCTATCCTTTGGAACCTATACAAATACTCTTAATAATGTAAAGAATATTTTGTGGGGCCAGCACCATGGTACACTAGGTTAATCATCTGCCTGTGGTGCCAGCATCCCATATGGGCGCCGGCTTTAGTCCCGGCTGCCCCTCTTCCAGCCCAGCTCTCTGCTGTGGCCTGGGAAAGCAGTGCTTGAACCCCTGCACCCACATGGGAGACCAAGAAGGGGCACCTGGCTCCCGGCTTCAGACAGGTGTAGCTCCGGCCGTAGTAGCCATTTGAGGGGTGAGCCAACGAAAGGAAGACCTTTCTCTCTGCTCTCTCTCTCACTGTCTATAACTCTGCCTGTTAAATAAATAAAAAAAAGAATATT